CATCCTAAGGATCTTGTTCTGGATCCTTGGGAATTTAAGGTGATGGCATTTGGCGCAACTCTCCCAGATTGGCATACCGTATTCTATTACAGGAAGGATGATTTGATTGTAGATAGCAAGCTTATTTTTCAGGGATAGAGTAGACCTCCTGTTGATGAGTGGATACAGTGAGCTTATCAAGATGTTACACTTGGTTTTGGTTCTGTCATCGTGCTCCCTGAAAATCAGCTTGCTATCTAGTGTTAAGCCGAGGAAGACTACATCATTCGACCATTCCACCACTGTGCCGTTCAGGCAGATCTTATTATTCTCCGACGGAACAAGTCTGAGAGATTTAGAGTGTGGAAAGATGATGACCTGGGTTTTTGCCGCGTTGATCCGTATTCCAGCTGTTGAAATATGCAGACAGAATGCCCAGTCCTCTCTGAAGTTTGGCAGTCAGAGCTCCGATGACCCTACCCTTGTAGACGATGGATGTGTCATCTGCGAACAGAGACAACGATCCACCATCAGGGAGAGCCAGCATATCGGAGGTGAACAGGTAGAATAGAATGGGGCCAAGGATGCTTCCTTGTGGAACCCCAGCACCGATGTTGAAAGCATCCTGTTCGTACAAGCAACATTTACCGCCTTGACCCTAAGTAGATTATAATATATTATCAACCTTAACAATCGATAGATACCACCACTTATTCTTACTGTTTCTCTATAATGTGCTGTCTCTGAAATACGAAAACAATAAATATAACACAGTATCATCTGCTTCTGCCATGGCAGGACGGTCGAAATCATTATCGTCTTTATTCATCAAATCACAACACGTAGGAAAGGGTCCTCACCGTGCGCGATCACATCCGTTGTGATGCCATTCAGAGAGACTCGAAACGTCCTGTTCGATAGATAGTTGTTTATTATCTTCACTAGAAAGATTGGAAGACCGTACTGCTGCAATTTGAACACCAGGCCATCAAGCCAGACATTGTAGAACACGTTTTCAACGTCCAACAACGCCATGGCAGATGTTTTCGAAACATACTTGTTTCATCTGAGAATGTTTGTTACTCGAGTCAGCTGGTGGACGGTCGAACGACCTTTCCGAAAACCAAACTGTTCCTTGAGTAACAAGTTGTTTTCTTCGGCACATGTTAGGAGCCGGTGGTACAGGGCTCTTTCGAACAGTTTTGATAACCCTGAGAGAAGGCTGATTGGTCGATAACTTGAAGGAGAGCACGGATCCTTCCCAGGTTTCCGGACGGGTATGACTTTAGCTGACTTCCAACACGAGGGGAAGTAGCCAAGTCGGAGGCACAGATTAAAAATCATTGCCAGATGGTTGTAGAATGTGCAACTCAAGTGTTTGAGTTCCAGATTCAGGATGTTGTCGAAAGCTGGGGCCTTCATGTTTTAGATGATTTGATAAAGGCCAACAGCTTGTCAGCCGTAATATCGGATTCCTCTGGAAAAATGTTAGGAATCTGAAGAAGATTGGTTGCATTTTCAGCAACCTCAGATTTATGAGGGCTGACGATGTTTTGTCCGAGATTATGGGAGCTGACGAAGTGTTGACCTATCGCGGCAGCCTTCTCTTCTAGAGTTATCAGATGAACCACTGGTTTGCCAAAGTTATCCAGTGGGGTCAGCGGTGGAATGGGTCTTGGCTTATTTTTAATGATTTTGGTTAGTTTCCAAAAGGGTTTTTCACTATCTAGGAGAGAGCGAATCCTGTTGGTTTTTCGAAAGGACGTACCTTATATTGTAATCAATGCATTTGATCGTTGACTTGGCGTAACTGGTACCTCGCCCACTCATGCTAACACCACTTTCAGGTAAGGGAGATTCTCCCTATCTGATGGTAGTGTTAGCATTAAAGCCCTCTTGTAAAAGAATATACGACTGTCACCACAAAACTCCCCGCGCTTTGGTCAGATAGCGTATAGGGTGTCGTTGTGCCAATTTGGTCGGGCACATTTCGAGTATGAGAGAGTGATTGCAGTGTGGCGTGTACGGTAGACTGATGCAAAATTTGACTTTTTCGCTCCACAGTGCTTAAATGGTTTCAAATCGGGTCCTGATTAGCCTCCTAAAGTTACAACTAATTTGGTTAGAAACAGACTTCGCACAAGCCATTTGAAGTTTACTTGTAAATTACTATGGGAATTCTCAACTTTTGGTTCATTTCCTTCTAGTCTTGTTCCATATTGAGCTGCGAAACAGTTCGATAGCCATTCTTATAGAAATTTTTTTCAGCTACAACTTTGCTCAAGATCGTTTCTATGTAAAACGAGACAGGACAAAGTTATTAATTATTTAAGAGATTGGTAAACTTATGACATGATCAAGCAGATGCTCTGTAGGCAACACTGTATTTTGCAGTGTGACATAGTAGCCATGATTTTTGTGTCCTATTCAACGCCCCAGAAACACCAATGTTGCCTGCTGAGCAGTTGATTGAGCATGATAATAAGACATCAGCGCATTGAACCATTGATAACTTTCGATCCTTGCATTTAATCAAAAAGTGGTCTCCGGCAAAGTTGTAGCTGGGAAAATTTCCTACAAGTGCAATTGAAAGTTTTTGAAGCAGACCGATATGGTGAATTATTAGATACACATGAACAAAAATCATGGTTTTACCATAGTAATTCCCATACAAACTTCAAATGGTTTGTGCCATCTCAGTTTCTCAACAAATGGGTCCAAATTTTGAGAGGTTAATCAGGAACCGATTTGGAATCGTTTGAGTATTGTGGAGCGAAAATTTCAAATTTTGCGTCACTCTAGTGTACGGGTATGTGGGTGATAATATTATGTTTACGTTAGGATAACGCTGAAAAATTGAGAAATGTAGGGGAAATGCATGTAATGTCGGCCTATATGTCCCTAATTTGGGCCCATACATATATTCAGCAATTGACTAAATTTTCAATAGCGACCAATAATATCCATTAGTACCGTCCCAATGACGCGTTAATCTAGATAAAATTGATAAATTACAGATTTTCAGCGATGGGCCGAATCTTAGATCCATAGGCCAACATTAGAGCCACTTCCCCTATCGCTTCAGTTTGAGAAGCACTTCACTTCGCAACCGATGAACCATTCTGACGGTCCACATTACCGTGCGTTTTGTGTTGGCAGGGTCCAATGTTGGACAGTTTGATATTTATAAAGTATCATCAGTTAGAACTGTATTTTGAGCTTTATCTCTATACATTCGTAGGTGTTTCTTAGAAGATTTTCATGTTGGTGTACGCTGATTCAAAGAGTAAATGGTATTAACATTGAGCTGTCCATAGTTGGGCGTTGCTGGTGGTACTTGCACAACATTTCATGAGAGTACCAAAGTAACCATATAATCACAAAATAACTTTTAATGTAGGTTTAGAGTGAGACAATGTCACTGAGATATGGTTGGTTGGGTATTCACATGACTATTACTTTAAAATGCTAATCCTGGTTGTATCTGTTTTTCGTTTGTATGTAACACTGTTTGATATTACTAACCGCACCTAGCGTTCATTCCGGGTGGTGAGCAAACCTGAAGAAGAAGAAGATGACCATGTGCCCCTTCTCGGAACGAGCGTATTTTTGATGGACCTGGTCTACGATTCAAGGTTGGATTCTGTGATGATATGTATCACAAAAAAGATAAAATAAGTGGCACGATCTTCATCGAAATGTAAGTATTATTGACAATAATCATAACAATCAACTCGTATATACATTGAAATACATATATAAAAGGGAAGAGACAACAGGGCGTCCGATTGAAGCGATTTGGACGGGGAGAGTGGGAATGCCAACTCCCTGTTGATAACATTTCGTGGATAAAGGGCGGGCTCTTCTCCCCACTCATTGGGGCATCTTCCTGTTTGGAGGCTCGTCTTTTTGACCAATTGGCTGATGAAGTTGCTGGAAGGAGATTCTTTATTGTTCCGTAGATGCGTATAGGCGACTTTGTCTATCGATCTACCCAATTCGTTTTTGGCCCTTCATATTTACAGCGACATGTTGAGGACAATCAGAGGTTATTAAGCTTGATCAAGACAAACAGAGAAGAGAGCCCACTGCTGTCGGACTTAGTTTCCGTGCTACAATGGGTGGTAAACCACTATCATATCATATCATCATTCGACTGCCACCAAAAAAACTGAAAAAAAGTTGTTCTAATCGAGCAAAGCCGTGCATTTTGACGGTTCGATTGGAACAACTTTTGAAAGACGTCCATACTTTTATTTAGAGGACTTTATTATCATGCGTAGGCGAGCTATCAGTTACACCAAATCAAATGCATTATTTACAAAATCAGGTACGTACGTCCCTTCGAAAAAGTAATCGAGAAATGTTGTGTTTTTGTAGGCTTTATCTTGAAGCTTTTAAACTAAAGCATCGGTTCAAACGTATTATTGATTTGTGACGTAAGCACCAAATCAGAATTTTTCAGGAGAAGCTTTTTTTCTTATGACTAGGCAAATTTTAACCCCAATTCACGTAAGAAGAGGTAAGGAAAAATCATTTTTGGAATGTTGTTCTACCAAAGTCATTTGACTACAAAAACGAGATTTCGGATCGAATTGGTCCAAATCCAAGTTTTTGGCATCATAGGTGCTTTTTGATGCACTGAATATGAAAATATAGAAAAGTGAAAATTGGCCATAACGTCACTTTATTGCCACATGGCAGTGAAGATTCCTGCGCTTAAAACTAATCCCTTAGGTTTTGTTTCACTCGTGCCAGAAAAAATAAAAATAATCGTTTTTGAAGTTCATTAACCGTTTAACCATGTTTATATGATATTTGCTTGTAAAACTGTAACTGTACGGCAATATAACAATCAAAACGGTCAATATGACTGTTCTTTCCTGAACGAAAAACAGTTGTGCGCACCAGCTTTACCTTATGCCGGTCACTTAAGATTCCTTTAAAACTAGCTTTCAACGACTACCGATAGTCACACCACCAATTTACAAATTTGCATCATACTTCAAAGCACTACTTACCCAAACACAGCCGCAAATGTGTTGAGACAACTTTGTCGTTGTATGAAATGATCCGGATCGTTCCAGGGAGATCTGCCGAAGAGACAAACAGGTTAGTTTAGATTGAATCAATCCGAATCCGGGTTTACGGGGGCGCTAGTAAACATGTGTAGGTAAACGAATTCCATTAGCAAAGTTGCACTCAATTTCCTTCTCCCAGACATGGCAGGATGTTGGTAGGTACGTTAGGGAGTGCACATGCAAGTCGAAGAGGAATGCCAACTCTGTGATAATTACAGACTAAGTACATCATCACCCTCTCACACCGACCCGCATCGGGTCGCCAACAGGATCATTAGGTAAATTGATACGAATCGAAACCGACACCACGACAGTCCACCAACCCGTCCAAGTCCAGTCTGGTAGCATTCGCGAAACCCTAACGTTCACATATAGAATAAAACGAGCCAACTAAATCACAAATCCGTTCCGACTTTCCGGGCTTCCGTTTCTCACAGAGCGAGGTCAGTTCGAGAGGACTGGGTGGCAGTGCAATATGCTTCAACCGGTCTGCCGCATAGAAATCGAGAAAGGCTATCATTACTATCAAAGTCACGTCCACTTCACGCTCAATGAAAAGCGACGAAGATCTCGGGATCTGGAATCGAGTGAAAACGTGATAGGGTTGCGTGAGGGGAAAGGGGGAGCGAGTGTAAATTGTGTCCATCTGTTGGGGAGAATGGGAGAATCATCGTATGCCGGTCTCGTTTGGGTATTATCCTTTTACGAATGGGAACGGTCAGTAGTCATTAAGTTAAATAGAAACGGGTCATAGGCGAAGTCTGAGTCTAAATGTTGAGTAAGGAGTCGATAATAGGGGAGAATGTGTGTGTGTGTGTTTGAGAGTTTGTGTTGACTTAACAAGCGTTCATTCGTTCTCGGATTCGAGGCACGGGGCAAGGGACTCACCTCCCGCTTTCCCGATCCTTGTAACCCTTCCGCTGGGTTACTTTAATTGGTGGCTTCCGGGTGACATGCGACACCAGTAGATTCATCAGAATGTCCTCGCAATTGGAGGACTGCTGCACCGTTTTCAGCAGCAGATAGGACAGCCAGTTGGTGTAGAGATAGTTGTAGTACCGATGGTAGAAAGCTGCCCCCGTCAGAACGATCGAATAGTAGTTGGTCCACTTGGACGTGTAGCCCCAGGCGTTCTGGAAAGAATGCAAGATTTGATTAATTTACATTGCAAAATTTAAGTGCATACGTGATACCTTGGAATCGTCCCAGAAGTGCGCCCTCGCCGGATAGCCTACAATGCGATCCGGAAAGTCCTGCCACACCTGGTAGGCAAAGTCCAGCTCGTCGGTGTTGAGGATGGCATCCTCGTCCAGCGACAGGACCGCATCCGTTTCGATGTGCTCGTGGGGGAAAAATCTTTGGGATATGCTGGGACGCTCCTCGTTTGGGCCACCGCTTATCACGTGCAGTGAAATGTGCCCAGTGGAGGGCCACCGTTTTCGCGTAGGCGCTGGCCGATCGCAGGCCCACAGTATTAGAATCTAAAATAAACAGATAGTATGTTATTGCAACTTTCACGAAGACGAAATGCTCTCGTACCTTATCTACAAATTGGCTTTTGGTGATGGATTTGACTAGCTTGTACAGGGCGCTGCTGGGCGTCAGCTGAGCGCCAATCTGCACGAAGATGACCGCTGTGTAGTTCGTTCCGGGCCGCAGTCCAACACCCTCGAGCAGGAACGGAAACCGGTGGGCCGTATCGGAGAAGGTCGGAACGGTCAGCAGGGCGCCCGGTGACTGGTTCCATATCAGTCCATTCCGATGGGGGTAGTCTGGCAGTCTCTCTCTTATAATCTGCGAAGAACGGAACGGAAGGAAAAGCAAACTTTATTATGGATGACAGGTAAAGCGCAGATTGAGGACAGTGTAGTTAGGAGTGCTTTGTCAGATAGCGAGTGGAAACTGCTTGCAATATCTTTTTCCAAGAATAGAAGGAGGATGTCTGGCATCGTTAACTATCTAGATCGCCTCAAGGAGGAAAGCCTCTTCAATGCATATCTTCTGCTTCTGCTTCACTATGCCATGTAGATGCATAGAAAGTTTTGCTGAAGCATCGGAAATCGTGCTACTCACGTATAAGTACGAGCTTATCTCTATTTTTTTCGTTGTTTGGGTCTTTCTCATTGGGGCTGTTCATTAACTACGTAGACTTTTTTTTTGGGATTCTTGATCCCCCTCCCCATTTTTTTTAATTTGTATGGACCATGGATAATTGCCAACCCCTCGCCCCCCTAAACTGTCTACGTAGTTTATGAACAGCCTTCTATGAGTCCTATACTTATTTTAACTTTACGGAGACGGTTAATACCGTTATTTTGATAGTAAAAAAAATAGGGAGTCATTTATTCAGATCTACGTTTCCCATGCCAAATTTAAAATTCTCCCGCATATCCAGACCAAATTCACTCAAATTTGATACCGTTGTTGGGGACCTCAAATGTGGGCCAGGAATTAAATCTAGCAGGAAAAAAATAATAATGCTCTTGGATTGCATCCAAATGAGTTGACGTCTTCGGTGAAGTTTCTAGGATAAATTAGGATGTGCATTTTTAAAGCACCTACAACTTTGTAGAACATTGAAAAACTGGAAAAATTCAATCAAGAAACTTTTTAAGGGGATACTACCAACAGGCATGGAAAATCATTTACATTCATTTCATGCAATCATTTACATTCATTTGCCTCTAACTTTTTTCATCAACAGCAATCCGCAAAATGATGTATATAGCTTTAGTAGGTTTTGTTATTAGCTACAACTTTTGCCCATAACTCAAATGTGTATCTCTTATGCATCAAGAATTAGAGCGGGCAGAACTTGTTACTGTTTTTCAGTGCATAAAATACATTCACTGAAAAACAGTAGTGGCTTGTGTTCGCTCTGGTTCGTCATACATAAGAGATACGGATTTGATTTGTTGACAAAAGTTGTAGTTAATAACAAAACCTACTAAAGCTCCATATATCATTCTGCAGAATTCTGTTGATGAAAAAAGTTACGGGCAAATGAATGTAAATGAATGCACGAAATGAATGCAAATGATTTTCCATGCCTGACTACCAACAATCAATACGAAACTATCGATTTTAATTCGGCTCACTACTTAACTAGCCTATTGGTCCCAAGCAAATCGATTAACCCCATTCTAGTCGAAATTCTAGTACTACACTATGTTTGTTTTGATGAAAGTTTTACAGATAAAATGAGGGGCTCGTGGATTTTCCATTGTTTCGAGGGGTGCATCGATTAGCTTGGGACCGACGAGAGTACCAGAGCTGAACCAAAAAGTTGAGCACGTTTCTTCTGGACCTTCTGGTCTTAGAGTTACCTCTTTGATACTACAAGTGCACGAAGAAAATTTTCGTCTTCGACAAAGTTTTTTTAAAATGACTTCATCTATTTACAATGTTTTTATCCGAGTGCTTATTCAAACCAAACATTTTTACTACTCCAATAAAGTGCTAAAACATTAAGAAACATTCTAGAAGACATTAAAATTCTACACTAAATAGTTTCGTCGCAAAAAGCCATTTTCACCTTTTTTAGATTTCGTCCCACTGTGCGTAGCAGTGCTGAGATTTTTCATTGCCACTGACAGACTTTCGCGTGAAATTGACAAAAAAATTTATCACGTAGTCACTGATTTAAGCTTGATAAGTAAGGAGTAAGAGGTTGTATTCAAGACACAACCGTAGATTTGACGTAGGATTACGTGCTTGACATCGATATTCGGCGACTATGCTAGGGAAACCACTTTCTCTCATCACGGAAACGCCTCGTTTGCTGATTTCAAAATTTCGCATTATCGTGCACGGAATTTTTGGTGCTTTGCAATAGAAAATACAAAAAGCGAAAATTGATTGGAGGAATTTCTTGCTAAAATTTTCCAATCGCGTCTTGCTTTTTTTCTAGCGTCCTGGAGAAAACCTTACATTAATTCGAAGTGTTTCTGGTTAGTTGACAAGGTCATGAGGTATTCGGTTATGGCGAGAATTTCACTTCTCGCTGTTACGCATTTGACCACAAACGTTTGATTGCTGGTATCAAAGAGCTTTGGGAGTGTTATGACTGGCAGCAAGGCGAGCGTACGTTCAATGAAAATTAACTCACAAACATGATGGTTGAGTAGTGCTGAGCTGATGAGGCTGGCGAGCTGTATGTTGTTTGGAACGAGGGTGAAGCGCTCGGCATAGATGGCCCACAGGGACTCACGAAGAGCTACCATAGAGGTAATTCTAAGAACAGAAGGTCCCGAAGAAACGAGCTAAAATTTTTGGCTCAGCTCTGGTACTATCTTCGGTCCCAAGCTAATCGATTCACCCCTCGAAACTTAGGAAAAACCAATAACCCCTCATTTTATCTGTCAAACTTTCATAGCGAATCAAAACAAACATAGTTTAGTACTGGAATTTATACTAGAATGGGGTACGTTAATCGATTTGCTTGGGACCAATAGGCTAGTCAAGTAGTGAGTCAATTTGAAATCGTTAGTTTCGTATTGATTGTTGGAGCTACTGCATCCGATCAGTAGCAGTGCGACTTCTTATCCTTCGGTGAATCGAGGGCTCTTGAGGGCTGCTTGCTTGGAGCCTTTCGTTGTGTACTGGAGAAAAATGTACCACGCCACACGTCGAAAGCACTGCTGCTGCTGCTGCTGATGATGACGACCAATCGGACACCACCACACACGGTGATTGAATAAGCACCGTTCGGCGAGACCGGATGGAATTCGATTTTGCAATCTGTGTTAGGGAAAGCGCTTTTTGCATGCCATCGGTGATAATTTTGATCACCATTGCAACAGTTGGAAATTTTTGTAATTTTCAAAAGTGAACTATTGAAAATTGATAAAGTGTTCATTTGAGCAGATTGGTAGAAAAATTTCGAATCGATTGGTTTTTTTTAGAATTAAAATTCATCCGCTATTGACAGACGAGGCTCGGTAGCTCAGTGGTTACCGTTTCTGCTTACTGAGCAGAAGGTCGGGAGTTCAATCCCAGGCCCGTCCCCTTCCTTGCAATTTTTCACTTTGCCTTATTCTATACCCACTAGATTTTAATGAAAACAAATTCTTCTTTAACACCGATCGCATCACTTACCACAGTGTGGGTCCTGATCTAAAAATAGAAATTGGATGAGTGCGCGCGCGTGTGTGTGTGTGTGTGTGTGTTTGTGTATTATAATCGCTCTACCAAAAAACGATCCCTGCGTGTGCGTGCAACCTTTCCCCACATCCAACATCCCAGTGATTTCTCGTGGAAGCGCAGAGGATTTCTCGGTTTCCTTCACAGCGAGTACCACGTCAACACATTCCTTCCCATTCCCTAGTTGACCTGCATTCGGACACGGCCGGCGCTGGTATTGCTAAATATTAGATCTCCAGTTCTTACACATTGAGGATGAATGTTAGTCCCAAACATCATCTGTTGGTTCTCTGTGTAATTGCAGCTGATCTGGTAATAACAGAGCAGCAACCGTGGGCGGTCAATCTGATTTTTTTTTTGATTTTTAAAATTCATCCTCTATTGACAGAGTTATAAGTTGTCAAAACCTGACCACTTTTCGTAACGCGGTTGATTTTGGTTTTTTTTTTAAATTGCACCCCCAATATGTTGCCAAAAGACGTAATCCTACGTCAAAAAACCTTTGTCAAAATCTCATTAATTTTTTCGTCAATGACAAAGATTCATCTGGCAACAAAACGTTTGATTTTGTGCATTCTGTGTCACATTATTGCTACCCAAGCAGTTCAGGACGTAGATGCTTGTTCACTTTAACGGCTCTATGTAATTTATTTGCTCAAGTTATTTAATTTCGTTACAAATTTAGATAATAAATAAATCTGCACATGTTTGTCACTGACAATTGACATGGTTTGCCTTGACGATGACTGTTAGCTCAAATGATTGACCAAAGCAGAATTGTCAATATCACCGTGTATTGTCGAGATTTTTCAGCAATTTCTTTCCAAATTCTCGTGTGTGTGTGTGTGTGTGTGTGTGTGTGTGTGTGTGTGTGTGTGTGTGTGTGTGTGTGTGTTGTGTGTGTGTGTGTACAATCCAACCCCCACTGTCCGGCAGTGTTATTATGGAAGAAAACTGCTTTTTATTACCCTTAAATTAAAGCAGGTTTAGTCCGGGAGTTAGAAGGTGTTAGCTCTATTGCAGCTCCAGTGACCCATTTCAGAATGCCTGGTAATTCACGACCACTCCGAGGTCACTTTTACTTACAATAAGCCCCGCATGTTCACTCTACCTTTATCAAATGGATAATGGTATCATAAACACACTTCCAGATTAAAAAAATATTATTTCCAAATCTGGCACGTATATAGTTTTGAAATTTGTTCAACTGTATTAAATCGATTTGAATGGACATTTCTTATCAATTTTGTTTCGAATACCTCTTGATTCATCTGCTGGCAGCACTTACTGGCCCTTACCGGCGACCAACTCATCTGCCCGCAATTGCAACAACGCCTAAATCTCGAAGCTCTCCGAACGTCCCCTCGAAAATGCAATCGAGATATGTATAAGAACAATCTTCAACTGGAACGTACTCACCAAATCAATACATCCGGGAGCAAATTCCCGATGCTTATTTTTCTCTCGCATACCCGTCGTCGTCGAATGGCAAAAAAAAGGAAACTCGGTGAGCAATTTAGTGACACGGAATTTTCACTGAACATAAACCGCGAATTCACGAATTTCACCACACATAACTGCGAAACACGTTCAGAAGCACTTTTGGTACAATTTCGATCAATTTCTTTCGAAAACACACCAAAAAAAAGTTA